GCACCATCGGGAATTCACACGCTGAACTGTGGCCAAGTGGCTGCGCTCCAGGCCCGGCAATATTTGTACAGCAGGGAGATAGATTGGCGCGGCTGTCTGTGTGATGATCTGCAGTGCGGACAGAGCTGACACTTCTCAGTGTTTGGTGGCCGTGGGAACAGATCAGCTCCCCCCACATCTCAATGTACACACAGACACTATTGGGGGTGACTGCAGGGGACTCGGCGTGAAATTATAAGTGAGTTGTTCTGCGGTGAGATGGAGAGCTATTAGTAGATTGCTATCATTTCTGTTTTTATATTCGAGGGTTTTCAAAATGTTTCTGCACTTTTTTTTTTAACATATACAGTATATGGATGAAAGTGCAGAAACATTTTGAAGCCCCTCGTGCATAGCTACTGTACTTAGGTACAAAACAATAAAAAACATACAGCTAAGCACCTTGCGGCATCCTCAGAGCTCTTATAAAGATTGCTTAATCTACTTCAAGAGGAAGAGAATTCCTTCCTGATCCCCAAAGAAGACTGGAAATCCCTTAGATAAACAGGCTTCAATGTCACGTATAAATATTATTAGCCGCTTATATTTTGTGGAATTGGAAACACATCCAATTTATTTTTGTTGTAATCTGCACTCTAGAACTATCCAGATCTGGAAATCTCCTCGTAAGCCACGCCCAATGTTTGAGAGAGGAAGAGATCTTTATCAATCAGTTTTACCTGCAGGCCCCCAAAGCTCCTCCCACAGCACAGAACTTTTCCCACTCTGCAAATCTCCTCCTACAGTGCAAAACTCAACCCACAGCACAGAAACCCTCCTACAGAAAAGAACTCCTCATACAGTGTGGAACCTCTCCCATAGTACAGAACTCATGCCACAGCACAGAACTCCTCCCACAGTGCAGAACCTCTCCCATAATACAGAACTCCTGCTACAGTACAGAACTCCCACAGTGCAGAACCTCTCCCATAGTACAGAACTCCTGCTACAGTACAGAACTCCCACGGTGCAGAACCTCTCCCATAGTACAGAACTCCTGCTACAGTACAGAACTCCCACGGTGCAGAACCTCTCCCATAGTACAGAACTCCTGCTACAACATGGAACTCCTCTCACAGTGCAGAACCTCTCCCATAGTACAGAACTCCTGCAACAACATGAAACTCCTCCCACAGTGCAGAACCTCTCCCATAGTACAGAACTCCTGCTACAGTACAGAACTCCCACAGTGCAGAACCTCTCCCATAGTACAGAACTCCTGCTACAGTACAGAACTCCCACGGTGCAGAACCTCTCCCAGTACAGAACTCCTGTTACCCTCCCACGGTGCAGAACCTCTCCCATAGTACAGAACTCCTGTTACAATGCAGAACTCCCACGGTGCAGAACCTCTCCCATAGTACAGAACTCCTGCTACAGTACAGAACTCCCACAGGTCTCCCATAGCAGAACTCCTGCTACCTCTCTCCCATAGTACAGAACTCCTGCTACAACACGGGACTCCTCCCACAGCACAGAACTCCTCCTACAGTGTGGAACATCTCCCATAATACAGAACTCCTGCTACAGCATAGAACTTCTCTCACAGTGCAGAACCTCTCCCATAGTACAGAACCCCTGCTACAACACGGAACTCCTCCCAAAGTGTAGAAATCCTGCTACAGCATAGAACTCCTCCCACAACAGAGAACCCTTCCCAAAGGACAGAACTTCTCCCACAGCACAGAATGCCTTCCACAGCTCAGAACTCTTCCAACAACTCCACCCACAGCACAGGACTCCTTCCACAACACATAACTATTCCCTCAGTGCAAAACCCCTCCCACAGCACAGAACTCTTCCCACAACTCCTCCCACAGCACAAAACTCACACAGTGCGGAACCTCTCCCATAGTCAGGGGCGGACTGACAACTCATGGGGCCCCCAGGCAATAGGGGATCATGGGGTCCCTGTATCCTTGCCCAAACTCAAAAAAGCCTATGAAAAAGGTACCAGGGGCATCTCATGGGGCCCCCTACTGATCCTGGGCCCTCGGGCAGTGCCCGAGTTTCCAAATGGTCAGTTCGCCCCTGTCCATAGTACAGAACTCCTGCTACAGCTCAGAACTCCTCCTACAGTGCAGAACCTCTCCCATAGTACAGAACCCCTTTTACAGCTCAGAACTCTTCCCACAACTCCTCCCACAGCACAGAACCCCTCCTACAGTATAGAACTCCTCCCACAGCATAGAACACTTCCCAAAACACAGAAGTCCTCCCACAGTACAGAACTCCTCCCACAGCACAGGACTACTTCCACAACACAGAACTCCTCCTCAGTGCAAAACCCCTCCCACAGCACAGAACTCTTCCCACAACTCCTCCCACAGCACAGAACTCTTCACACAGTGCAGAACCTCTCCCATAGTACCTGCTACAGCTCAGAACTCCTCCCACAACACAGAACTTTTACCATAGCACAGAACTCCTCCCGCAGTGCTAATCTGACTTTTGTTTTCTGTTTTTATTTTAGTGAGAAATAAAAAGAAAGTGCACCTGTCCGTCCTAGAGACTCCAATACAGGCACACTAGCTGGCATCACAACATTTTCTTGATAGGGTCCAGTTAAACCTGCCCCACTACCACCACTGCACAGAGCTTTACCTTGGAGCCTAAAGGAAGCTCAGTGACGGTTATTTTCTGTGTAAAAGCTTGTTGAGCCTATTATCTGACATTTAACAAACTACCCCTCCACCTCATAAGAAAAAAAATCTGTTTCTGTAACTGCCTAAAAAATGTTATCTGTAGCTGAGATTTATTTTGTCTTTTATTTAACCCCTTACTTTTACCCACTTTTGTCTTTTAACCCCTTCTTAAGTTGCATCTAAAAGTACATGATGTCCACCTAAGATTCCCCTGTCCAACGGATGACAAAGCTGCAATGCGATTTCACTGCAGAATAAAGAGAGTTGTCACCCTGTTATAGGAAGTGAAAACACAATCAATCTAGCGGCAGGATGAATATGTAATAAAACTATGTTACATGGGGACTCAGAAATACAAAACTGCTGTGTTAATGCTATTGACAGCCTGCATCAAATGTCATTTTCTCGTTTCACCAGTGTTCCACTTTAAAGAAATAACATTGACAGCTTTCAGTTAAAGTTGTCACTGGCACACAAAATTGTGTCTGTCACAAAAAAAAAACAGTCTCAAGTCCAACTTTGACAGGGGTCATTGTTATATTTGTACACAGTTAGCTGATTTACTAAATGAGTAGAGAATCTTCACTCAGGAAACGGTTTGAATATTTACTTCAATTATCTAATTGTGTAAAAAGTATCTGCATGTGATTGTGTATTTACAGTGAGCAGGAATTTGCTTTTCACATGACTGCACAATTAAAGTGAATATTTATGCAGTATTTGAGTGAGGGTCCCATTCACACTTAAAGTGTTACTAAACCCAGGACCCTGCATTCACTATATCTGGTCTCTCACAGTACACAGAACATGGAAGTGCAATTATTTTAGTAAATATAAACTACTAAATAATACCTTTTCTCATCAGCAGTATATAGCAGTCTTGTGACTTCTATCAGTGTCCGTCTGAGCACTGGTTAATCTTGTAGGGGGAGTTTTCATTCTCCTCTGACTGTCCTATGAGTCTGCATGACCCCTGACCCTCTGTCTGGACAGCGCTGATTGGCCCCCTGATCACATGCGCCCTCCCAAAGAGAAAAAACTCTAGCAATACACACTAAACTGAGCATGTGCAGAGTGACTCCTAGGGATCTTTACTATCAGCAGATGGACTGGGGACAGTAGAAGAAGGGGAGGATCAGAGAAGACAGGATCAAACAGCTTTTTTTTTTTTTTTTTTTTTACAATGCGGAGGATTAACCCCTTAGGTTCCGCAGTGAGTATAACAAACATGCTTAACTGCATATACAGACTGATTTTACTGTATATACAGACTGATTTTACTGTATATACAGACTGATTTCACTGTTGTGGATTTAGTAACACTTTGAGGCCTCATTCACACGTCCTATAAGGTCTGGACAGCAGATCCCTGTGGCAAGAATCAGTGGATTCCTACAGCTGGAATCAGTCACAGATGACTGCAGACAGTTGTGGCCGGGAAACCTGTACAATGCAATGGCAAACTGTCTGCTGCTATAACCATCCCTGGATGCAATCTGCCTGTGTCCAGGGCCGATCATGTGTCCCTAGCCACGGACAAACCACTGGATGTGCTCATACATGCGAACAACGGCGGACAGCTGCTGCGCCCATTCAGCCTGTCATTGCTTTGTACAGGTTTCCCAGCTGCAGCTGTCCCCTACCACCTGTGATCCCAGCCACAATAGTCTTCCTCTTTATACCATAGGGATCAGTTATACGGAATTTATAGGACATGTTAAGGAGGCCTAAGCACTCCATTGTGGTGTATTAAAGGACACATTAACGTGTATTGATCAAGGCAGTCTATTGATTATGAAAGGGCTGCTAATGCACCACAGTGGATAGAAAAAATGCAGGACCCTTTTTCAACAATGCAGGGCATGGTATTCTGTGTTGGACTCTACCAAACAGCGCAATTGGGACCTTTCACAATGAATGGGACTGCAACACCACCACACATAGAGCAGGTGTATTGCCATTGCCCACAAATGCAAATGAACTCTTACTAAATCAGCTATGGTGCGTTTATAAAATTAATTATTTCTCTATAATATGTTTTTCTTTAAATTGTTTTTAGGTATTTGCAGTTCTGGACAAAATATTTATTATGGTAAACTTTACCAAATTTACTTATTTTTGTTGCACACAATTTTGTATGTTGGTGCTGAATTTTTTTGAGGTTTCCATTACTGTGTCCAAGGGCTTTGTTTGATGTCATGTGAATCTTCCTGGGTCCATCCCTTGACACATAAGAGAGTTGGATAGAATCACAACATTTTTGGGAAAGGGAATGAAGGGGAAGGGGGACAGGAAAGTAGCCGATTTATAATTTGTTGTGTTGCTCCAGTCTTCAGGTACCACCATCACTGTAGATATCGCTGTTATGGGCGAAGCTCATGGTCTCATCACGGACCTCTTAGCTGAACCGTCATTACCGCCACACGTGTGCACTTCCCTGAGGGCGGTTAGTAACCTACTGAGCACCCAGCTCAACTTCCAGCCAATCCACAAGCCCAGGGTGAACCCCCTCGTCACCTTCAGTGAGAACTCTGCATGTTCCGACTCCGAGGAGGGCTCCGAGAAGGGGGAGAAGATGACTATACCAAAGGTCAGAACTCATGCTATGCACACATTATCTATATTTGCTACCAATGTTGTTCTGTAGGTTAACATAATTGAAATTAACTTTTTGTTTCAGAAAGCTATAATGGTCTATGAAATATTTAAAAAAATAAAATTTCCTTCTTGCAACCATGGCAATGGTAAACAAAATTTACTATACTCCTCATCCCCCTACTCCTGTAACTAAAGCATGAAATCATATTACAGACTTCCTTTCATTTGCCACCCCTAGCATCATTCTGGGTAGTATGAATGAGATGATGCTGGGGATGATACTGGGAATTTATTCCAACACTGGTAATGATCATGTCATTGTAGTTAGGCAGAACCTCCCACTTAGCACTTATTTAATAAATGAGTTGAAATATTCAGTGCTATTATCTACAGAACAGAAGCAGGTGAGAACCTGTGATAAAGGCAGACAATTCTTGCTGTGTGTCAAGTTGTTTTCCTCTACAGCAGGGGTGTCAAACTGGCGGCCCCTCCGCCTCTGCCTTTGGGAGTCATGCTTGTAATTGTCAATCTTGCAATGCCTCATGGGACGTGTAGTTTGGCAACAGCTGGAGGGCCGCCAGTTTGACACCCGTACTATACAGGAATGGAGTTTCACTTTAGAATGAACATCAGGAGATTGTTTTGAACATGTTGTTTACATTACTGAACACAATTGTCAGCAACAGCTCCCGTGCTTTCCTTGTGTTAAAGGAGCAGCTAATAAGCAGTCCAGTGCCCAATTCCCTCATAAACTCTGTGTGGCCCACACCCATTATCATGGTGACTGCTCATTCAAGAGCAAAGAGGATACCATTGTATTATGGATATGAGCTTTTTTTGACTGGTTCAGACCAGCACAGTGGCAACATATGGAAGAGGAATCAGGGTGCAATTTTCTTGAACATTGATGGGTAATTTCGTGAATTTGATGGGAATATAAGAAAAATTGTGAATTTCTAATACTGAGAATTCAAATAAAATCTGCTAAATTTCAGTCTTCCTACATCTCTTTGTAGCTGGTTGTGAGTTGAGATCTTTCCAAACCAGCCATTCTCAACCAGGATTCTGTGGAACCCTAGGGTTCCTCCAGTGGTTGCTAGGGGTTCCTTGAGCTATGGTTGATTGACCTCCCCTTTGATGAAGCCTGCATAGTTTCAGGGCCAGCACCATTGTCCCAGTCAGAGGCAAGACACCAGTTGATCTTTAGTGGTGGCCTACTGATCACCACTGTAGGACTTTCTTGTTACCAACCAATGTAAGGGGCATTTTTCCCATTGACTCCTGATGAATTGGTTTTAGCAGGGGGGTCCCTGAGACCTGAAATATGTTTCATGGGTTCCTTTATGGTCAAGAGGTGGAGAAAGGCTGTTGTAGCCATTTCTCTAATGGTAACCTGTCCTTCGTGGGGGGGGATTCTCCGTGTGAAGCCATTGCCCATAGCAACCACTAAGACTGCTTGTTTCATCTCATGGAGAATAAAGTCATGATTGGTTGCTGATGGGTAACAGCTCTGCACTAACTAATTGTTTGATCTTATATTAGAAAGAGAAATTAACAAATTGTCTCTAAATAATTAATGTGAAACACTACTCTTGTTATGTTCCCTCACATCTATAGAGGTTACGGAGAAGTCTTCCTTCGGGACTATTACGCAGAGTGTCTTCAACTTGGACTACAACCACCTCTGCGACCGGATTGCCGACCCTAGAACCGGCACCAGTGAGGCGAGACCGCAGTGGTAGTATTAAGCCCACTGATACAACGTCCTCGGGGTAACTAAATTAACACTTACTGTAACAAAGTTTGTGAGATATATTACTCCACTATGACACCATTTATATTGCTTAAAGTGTTTGTAAAGCTAAAATCTCTCTAGTCTGGGGAAATCCCATCTTGCACTATTGTCATCAGAACTGGAAGAACTTTCCTATTGGAAGATTTCCCTACTTTTCCTGTTCTGGTGACAACTGTAACATTTTGAATTTCCCATCACTTTCTGTGGCATGTGACCTAACGCTACCCATGCTCCATGTAAGTGCCTCTCTAGGCTTTTTTGGCCAATGCTGCAGAGACAATAGGACAGATATAATGAAAACAAGTCAGTTGTCTGAAATAATGGCAGGTTGAGCCCCTGCCTGAGAACATATAAAAATCCAGTGAGTGGCTCATCTTTCTGGCTTCCACGTATAATTGAAATGTTACTTCATTCCAGACTGGCCCTCTTAAGTTTTCACAGGGAGTTGGTGACAGTAGTCTGATACCTCATTCTGTAGAGCTCTAAAGCTCTGAAGTCTCATGGCTATGGTGGAAATTGTCAGTTGATGCACATTAATTGCCCATTTAGAGTGATAAAGTATGCCAGCACAGTCCTCTGTATACATGTTAATTTCACAGGAGTTAGGCAGGTAAATGTTGTTCTATGTATTTCTTGATCACAATGGATGGGTCATCATGAAACAACAGACCTCTGTGATGTCTATGGGTCCTGGGAGCCAGGTGCACATAGACAGATTTGCACCTGTTAAATCAAATACTTTGTACAGCAACATTAGATCAACAACACTGTACTGTAAGGATCTATTTGATCGGATATCTCTTGGATGGTATGTTTCTTACTGCTAGTGTAGAAGGATCATTTCTGTCTTTCTATCTAAGAATTTGTTCTCCAACTTTGAATTCAATTGGCTGCAAACTGTGGTATGTGTGGTATGAAAATTGATGATACAGCAGGAGGATTATTTGGGGCTCTCCCGTATGTACCCCCTGGTGTTCTTTCTGAGGGGTGCCTAGGTATAGACAATGTGGAAAATTGGTGGGTGGAAGAGGGATCACATTTTATACAAGTTGCTCTATGAGTAGGGAGCTCCATGGGAACAGCACCTAAACATGCAAACAGCTTCCTCTGTGCGACCTTTGTAGAATTCCTTCATGTTCAGATGAAGATGACTTGGGAAAATTTGGAGGTGGCTGATATTTGCGTCACCCAATCAAATTTTTTCATTTTGATGTAAAAGTTCATAGTATTGGTGTACAAGTGGATACACTCACACTCCAACACAGCAGGGTTGATTTACTAAAACTGGTGGGTGCAAAATCTGGTGCAGCTCTGCATAAAAAACAATCAGCTTCGGGGTTTTATTGTCTCAGCTTAAATGAACAAGCTGATTGGCTACCATGCACAGCTGCACCAGATTCTGAGGGCACCAGCTTTAGTAAATCTTCCCCATAATGTTGTTGTCAAGTTGTTAATGATCCGAACATCTCTCAGCAGTGGCAATTCCGAATCATGGAACAACAACCTTCTTGGAAACATCAGTAAGAGCCGCTCCTTCTCCACCCCATTCGTTGTGTCTAACGTCAATCACCTGAATTCCAAACGAAGACAAGGTAAGATCCCTAAATACTACACATAGGTCTGTGAGTGTGATGCTAACATAACAGTGCAGAAGCCCATAGTATCCAGAAGTCAGTTTAGTAACGGAAGGAATACGGATTCTGATCTGTAGTGTCTGCATACAAGAAGCTGTATACTGGATGAGGGCATACAAGGCCAAGCAATCCTACACGACGGAGTGGAGACAAGCCTAGCTAACCTGAAAGGGTACTGAGCAGAGGAAACTGGCACATGGAAGAGAAGGAGGGATAAATACAACCCCTGGCAAAAAGTATGGAATCATCACTCTTGGAAAATGTTCATTCAATTGTATAATTGTGTAGAAAAAAAAACCTTCTGGCAATAAGAAAACACTTAAAAAAATAAAAATGAAAGAAAAACTGTAGTCAGTTGCAACTGTTTTTGCAGATCAAGCAGAGGAAAAAATATGGAATCACTCAATTCTGAGGAAAATATTATGGAATCATGAAAAACACCATTACTGCCGCCTCAACCTTTGGAACATTTCCAAAATCCGCCCCTTTCTGACCAATGATACCACAAAATAACTTATCCACGCCTTGGTTTTATCCCGCCTTGTTTACTGCAACTCCCTCCTCACTGGTACACAGGCTATCGCCCCTTCAGTCTATTATGAATGCTGCTGCTAGACTCATACACCTTACCAACCGATCAGCGACTGCTGCCCCTCTCTGCCAATCCCTTGACTGGCTTACAACCACAGCTTACAAAGCCATCCACAACACTGCCCCTAGCTACATCGCCAACCTCATCCACAGATACCACCCAAATTGCCCACTCCGCTCCTCCCAAGATATCTTCCTCTCTAGCTCCCTCATCATCTCTTCCCATGCTTGCCTCCAGGACTTCTCCAGAGCCTCACCCATCCTCTGGAACTCCTTACCACAGTATGTCCGGTCAGCCCCCACCCTGTCTGCCTTTAGGCGATCTTTGAAAACTCACTTATTCAGGGAAGCCTACCCCACCTCCATCTAAGAACTGTACTTGAATCACCTCCACCAGATCATTCCCCGCAGCTATCACCTTTTGTATCACCTCCCCCTTCCTTTAGATTGTAAGCTCCACGAGCAGCGCCCTCACATTCCTTCTGTACTGAAATTTATTTTAATTGTACTGTCTCCCTTATATTGTAAAGCGCTGTGCAAACTGTTGGCACTATATAAATCCTGTATAATAATAATAATAACAACTACAGTACACCAGTAGTATCACCTCTGGCTTTTATAACAGCTTGAATTTTCTGGGGCATAGATCTAACTATCTACAAACCGTATTCTTCATCAATCCGGCTCCAACGTTCTCTTATTACAGTTGGCAGATCAGCTTTGCAGGTTGGAGCCTTGTCATGGACCATTTTCTTTCATTTCCTGAATAGATATTCAATTGGATTGAGGTCCGGACTATTTGCAGGCCATGCCATTGACATATGTCTTTCTTGAAGGAAAGTTTTCACGGCTTTTGCCCTATGGCAAGATGCATTTTCAGCCTGAATAATAATGTCATCATCACCAAACATCCTTTTCAATTTATGGAATAAGAAAAGTTTCCAAAATCTCAATATAAACTTGTGCATTTATTGAAGATTTAATGGCTGTCATCTCCCCCGTACCTTTACCTGACATGCAACCCCATATCAATGATTGTGGAAATTTGCATGTTTTCTTCAGGCAGTTGTTTTTATGCATTTCATTGGAAGGGCACCAAACAAAAGTTCCAGCATCATCACCCTGCCCAATGCGGATTTGTGATGCATCACTGAATATCACTTTCATCCAGTCATCCACAGTCCATGATTGCTTTTCTTTAGCTCATCTCAACCTTGTTTTTTTTTCTGTTTAGGTGTTAATGATGGTTTTTGTTTGGCTTTTCTGTTTTTAAATCCCATTTCCTTTAGGTGATATCTTACAGTTTGGTCACAGACATTGATTCCAGTTTCTGCTCATTTGTTTTGTTGTGCATTTTCTGTTTTCAGCGCATATTGCGTTTTCTATCTTGACGCTCTGATGTCTTCCTTGGTCTACCAGTATGCTTCCCTTTTACAACCTTCCCATTTGATTTGTACTTGGTCCAGATTTTAGACACAGCTGTCTCATAATCAGCCAACATCTCTTGCAATATTCCGTGATGATTTACCTTCTTGAAGAAGTTTTATAATCCTCTCCTTTGTTTCAACTGACATCTCTCATGTTGGAGCCATGATTCATGTCAATCAGCTAGGTGCAAGAGCTCACCAAGGTGTGCAAGCACTCTTTTTTAACTGCAGACTAATTAGCAGATGTAATCTGAGGCAGAGGTTTGTTTTAGAGCTAGTTCACACTTGATGCAGTTCAGTGCACTTTTTTTCTGCATCACAAATGCATGCACAGTGTTTTCCATGTATTCCAATGGCCCTAGTTCACAATAGTCCAGTCTGTTCCAGTCACTTTCCAGTGCAGAAAAAAAAGTAGAATATGCTGCATTTTTTCTGCACAGAACCATACTGGAACATGGCAAACTGCACCAGAACTGCGTGTGGTGTGAACTGTAAGCAAAAACGTATCCGGAATGCAACCGGAGTGCATTTTTGTAGTGTGAACTGACCCGTAGAACGGCAAAGTACATGGTGATTCCATAATATTTTCCTCAGAATTGAGTGATTCCATATTTTTTTTCCACTGCTTGATCTGAAAAAAACAGTTGCCACTGACTACAGTTTTCTTTTCTTTTTTTTTTTATTGTTACAGCCAGAAGGTTGGAATGTTAAATGAAAATAGTTTGGATGCATATCTGTGATTAGTTTTTTTTCTACACAATTAAACAATTGAATTTTCGAAGACTGGTAATTCCATACATTTTGCCAGGGGTTGTATAACCTTCCTGCAGTCAGTTACAGGGGATGAAATGTAGTGAGTCCAGCCAATGAAGTGTGGGGCACGCTGGTGACAACCAGTTTTGAACTGATAGCCAAGGCACAGTGCAAGCACAAGGACATGGATAGTGGGAGGTCCATGAGAGTCCTTTTGTCATACTCATCAAACATGTCAGGGGAATTATTTAGTGCACTGTGTTTTATAAAGTGGGCAGAATCATATTAAAGTGATGAGATATTGTATTGTAAAGGGGCAAACTGACTTACCTGGTTACCGGGTGCTCTGCCCCAACACCCTGAGCCAATCCTAAATACAGGACCTTCTGCCTCCCTTCCCCTCCACCCCCTTCCTCCCTCAGTGCCCTGGGCCAATCCTGAGCACAGCAGCCCTACTGCCCCCCCTCCACATCTTTGGGTGCCCTCATCTAAACCTAAACAATGTGCCATTTTAACCCCCGCTTTCCCTCCTGGTCAATCCTGAACCCAATGTCCCTCCACCCAACCCCTTTCCCTGACAGCCCTGAGCCAATCTAATTGCCCTTCTGCTCAATTGCCCACCACCCTGAGCCAAATCTGAACACAGCACCCTTCTGCACCCCCCCCCCCCCCCGCCAAACACACACCACTTTTCCTCCCCCAGTGCCCTGAGCCAGTCCTAAACATAAACACAGCACCCTTCTGCCTCCCTTTTTCCCATAGTTTCCCCAACCAATCCTAAACACAATAGCCCTTCTTCCCCCCCAGGACCGTGAGCCAAACCTAAACACAGCTCCTTTTTGACCTCTCCCTACCTACCCCCCCAGCACCCTGACTCCACCCTGATCACATTTCCCTTCTGCCCAACCCCTTTCTCTTGGCACCCTAAGCCAATCCTTAACACAGCACCCTTCTACTCAAGCTTCCCTTCCCCGGCATCTTTAGCCAATCTTGAACACACTCCCTTCTGACCACCCCCTCTTCCCCTTGGCACCCTGAGCCAATTCTGGATACAATGCCCCCTTCTGCCCTTCCCAACACTTTTAGTCAATACTAAACCCACAGCCCAATCCAGCCCCCACCCTCAGCTCCCTGATCCAATCACGGCACCCTTTTGTGTCCCCTTTCCCCACAGCATCCTGAGTCAGTCTTGAACATAGTGCCCTTGCAATCCCTCCCACCTTACATCCTACTAAGGCAGAGTGATTTCAGCTACCATGATTTTGCAACACAATTAGCAATTTTCTGTTTGTCAAAATGTATCCATACAGCAAATTTTGCAGAGAAAAATACCCCTTTAAAGTGTTACTAAACCCACAAAAGTAAAATCAGTCTGTATATGCAGTAAAGCATGCTTGTTATACTCACTGTGGAACCTAAGGGGTTAATCCTCTGCATTGTGTAAAAAGGATGTTTGATCCTGTCTTCTCTGATTCTCCCCTTCTTCCACAGTCCCCAATCCATCAGCTGATATTACAGAGCCATAGGAGGCACTCTGAAAATGCTCAGTTTGGTGTGTATTGCAAGAGAATTTTTGTTTTTGTTTTTGGTGCATGTGATCAGCACATGGCCAATCACCACGGTCTATACAGAGGGTCAGGGGTCATGCAGCCTCATAGGACAGTCAGAGGAGAATGAAAACTCCTCCTACAATCTTTAACCAGTGCTCAGTCAGACACTGATAGATGTCACAAGACTGCTATATACTGCTGATTAGAAAAAGGTATTTAGCAGTTTATACAATATTTTATATAAACTAATTGCATTTTCATGTTCTTTGTACTGTGGACGATCGGATATAGTGAATGCAGGGACCTGGGTTTAGTAATACTTTAAGACTAAAAGCATGCAGCATTCCTAACTGTGAGGAGCTGTAACTGTTTGGTATGGTTCTAGCAACAAAGACAAGTTTTCATGAGCTAAGTGTTAAAGCAGAACTTCAGCCTTCCTATCAGTCTTTCACAATTGTATATTATTATTATACAGTATTTATAAAGTGCCAACAGTTCGCTCAGCGCTGTACATTACAATGGGAGACAGAACATGTGACAAAACAATAACAATACAATGCGATACATGAGAGGTTCGAGGGCCCTGCTCTTTCGAGCTTACACTCGTATAGCTCCTTCACTGTATTGTTTACTATGA